ATAGGGCAATACATGTAAGAGTTGGTTAGAATTTTTCAGGGAAGTACTGGATAGAAAATTGTACCCTGCAAAATAGCATATTTAGTCCTTTATTATTTGCTGTTATGATAAACCATGCATTACAAGAAATACAAAGTGTTCACTTTCTGTAGACAATGAAGCTATTTGGAAAAGTGAAAGGAAGATAAAATATCTTGTTTCAAAAGTACAACAAGCAATTCCCAATATAGAAACAATATCTTTTAGATTGGCTTCTAAATGTTCTGTTGAAACAAAAGTAAAAATATTTACACATAAAATGAAAAAGGATATAAAACAAAAGATGTATAATCAGAAACTTGAAGGGGTGGAACAATATAAATGTTTAGAATTTGGTATGATGAAAAATTAACCTGGAATAAATGCACATTGAAAATTTAAGGGACTACTGGCACAAAGGCACAAAGATGGACATGGTTACATTTATGTATTTCAAAATAGAGCTTTCATTTTTTCACTGGTTGTTACAGATTTCATATTACTACATAAGTTATTTTTGTACCGCTGAGGTGCAATAAAGCATGTTCATTAACCTTTAAGAAACCTGTCTGAATCTGTCTTGAGAGTGGCTCCTTTTTGGAAATCAAAATATGGTCACCCTATATTTGAATGAGAACAAAGCAATGCTAACATTACAATCATGTAGAAATCATAAAACTTCCTAAAGCAAAAAGATAAAATTAAATTCCTCATAATCAGACTTGTTGAACCAAAGATAGTCTCCATGGCTCCACTCAGGTCACAGTCCTCATCTTAGGCACCATTAGCCCAGCATTCGAAATACACTAAATGATCATCAACCCAGAACCAAAAGTCCAGGGTGCAGGTGTAATGAAGGCCGAGCCATATGAAGGGACTGCTGGCCTTCTCAGCCTCCAGCTCAGCAAAGGCCTGCATCTGTTGATCCAGGATGGAGGCCAGATCTCTGTGGTTATCTCTGCAGTGGTACAGGGCCTCTTCCCTGGTCTTGTTTTCCGTAATTAGTCCAAAAGGTGATTCTTAAACAGAGAAAAGGCCAAACTTGGGTTAAATAAAGTTTGGGAGGCACAAACCTATAAACATTTTGAAACAACATTTTCTTGGAGGGTCCAATAAATTATGTGATTTATTAAGAAAAGGAAGAAACTAAATCAGTTTTTTTGGAAGCATTTGTGCTCCTCAGTCAAACAAATTAAACTATCTCAAACACTTATCTGTCACACTTGTTTGTAGGACACCAGACAGAGATTCTACCCAGAATAAAATACCTCAAACCAATTCATTACTAATTATAAGCCTTTGTATGGTGAGAGTTTATAAACAGGGATCACATACCAATCTTTGTGCCGGTGATGTGTATGTCACAAATGATCATATATTGGTGTTTGTGTATGAAAAGAGTGACATAGCGCCCCAACACTGATGGTTGAAGCTCATAGATATTGAACTGGTCTGTTTGGAAGTTGGTGATGTTTTGAATCCTATATTTAAGAGAAGAAAAACAAACCATGTCACAATTTGGCCGAAAATATTAACTACAATCAGCTAGAAATTGTTAACAATCAATAACTTCATTTGCAGCTTAATTAATGCAGCTGCTCTGAAGATACTAATGGAGCAGAAATCTGGAATATTCACAACAGACAGAGACAGAAAAAAGTCGTAGTATGGGTCGCTCTTATAAATGATACACCATGTATCAAGAAATATCTCTGTTTAAATAAAGGAAAACAGATGAAAAACGATACCTGTGGGATTCACATAAGGATTAGACTGTTTGTAAACTATGTCTGACATGACATTCAATCATGAACCATTCAGTGAGACTTTAAGCACCATTGTCAAAAAAAAAAAGCTTCAGACAAATATCTAACCATAAGGTAGATTAGGGGTTTCTAATACCCCATTTACACTACCCTTGAAAAACCGTGCCGAGACCGGTCCAAGCTTAGTAACTGAGATAACTTATCCTGTGTCAATGGAAAGCAAACTGAACTGAACAGAGCTATACACAACTGAGCCGGGATAACTGCAGACCAGTTCCAGAGTTGGGCTCGGCTCGGTTTTTCCCTGGCTCGGTTCTCTGATAACAAGAGCGCATGAGCATGAGCAGAACGCATCATCTCCGTCTGGCTGCACATACCGATTCACACTCCATTCCAGTAGTTGGCGGTAATGCCCCTCCGGAAACAGAAGAAGAACAACTTCTTAAACTATAAACAACAATCAAAATCTTCTCCACGCAACAATTTAAATAATGGCATCTTAAATAATAACACTGAAGTACAGCTCGTTCAGCTCTATATACGGGTCAGCCCAGCTATTGGGGCCAGATAATCTTGTACCGGTAAGTTTGTTAGTTTAAGTTATTCCAAGGCTCATGTCCCTGTCCCCAGAGGCCAGTGAGTTGAGAGGGTTTTGGTGTTTGTCTCCTGTATCCTGATCGTTTCCTGGCTCTTTCCCGCTCTCTGTTCCGTTTTGGCTCAGTGGAGTTGAAGCTAGTTTATCTGGCTCCTATGTGGAGTATAGTCTAAAGTTCTGCAGTTATCCTGGTACCATGTCTTGTCTGCATCTGAGCGTGTCTGCCTGAGTTCACTGCAGGACTCATGGATTCTTGGAACCCTGAATCTGTCTGTCCTTGTGTGGATCGGAAACCCTGACTGGGCTACAGACTCCTGGATTCCAGAACTTTCCTGTCTGATCTGTTTTCCCTGACCTGGATTGGATTCCTGCGCGGTTCACTGGGGTTGCTGCTCTGGGCAGCTCTGCGCTGCAGCTTATTTGGCAGTCCATCAGCTGGATCCTGCCTTCCTCTTAGAGCAGGGGTGTCAAACTGGTTCCAGAAAGGGCCGTGCTATTGCTTGCTTGGAAAGAAATCTTGCAGCCACATGGCCCTTTCTGGAACCAGTTTGACATCCCTGTCTTAGAGGATGGACTGAACTGGTACAACATGTAAGTTACTCACACTGGTAACCATCTCACATCAGATGATTGTTGTCACTTACCTGTGTTTTTCTCCTCCAGAGGCTCAGTGATTGTGTGGTGCCGGGCCTCCACCCTGCAGCCACTGCGGGCCGCAGATCCAGAGCTCCACGTTTCCTGTTGTTTTTGTCATGATTTTATCTAAAGATCTGACCCACAAGCAGAAAACAAAACAGAGAGAACAGGGAAAAGTTTAGCAGGTTTTATTGTGAATTGGTAAGGCAAGGCAAGGCAAGGCAAGGCAAATATATAGCACAATTCAGTACAAAGACAATGCAAAGTGCTTTACATGATTAAAATACAGGAAGATAAAACAGAATCAAAGCAAGTAGGAAAAAAAATGAATAAAAAAAATAAAAAAAAATGCAGAAACAAAAAAGAATATTAAAAACAGTTGGGTTAGCATTTGATCAAAAATTTCTCCTTGGGCAGTTGACAATTAGAGAGGAGCCCAGTGCTGCTCTGAACACTGTCGAACCGGGAATGAAAAGTGAAGGGGAAGATTCTCCGGTTAGTTCAGACTCAGTGGGAAATTTTTATCTTTGATTGAAGAAGGGAATACAGGCAACAGCACTCATAATAGACTTGTTTGTTGGAGGGCGGAGGGGGTTTAACCAGGTTGAGGTGTTTCCTTGAGGAACTGATGACCTGACTGCCACTTAGATTTCCTGCGGTACTTGAACAGTTCCTTGTGGAGATGAATCCCCTGCTCAGAGAGAAGCCCAAACAATCCTTGGGGAAAAGTAGATCCAAACCACCAGTTTGAATCCTCAGCTCAGTTTGATGCGCAGAGAATCCTTTGAGGGGGGAGAAGGTCCAAAACATCCAGTTTGCAGGATGAGATCCTGCCAAGAGGCAAATACAAAAACAACAAGATTAAGACTCAGGTGACAAAACTCAGTTTGACACAGCAAAACTCAGCTGGGCTAGAGTACCCAAAACTTGCAAACACTCTGGCATTGAGGTAGTGGCAGTCAGCAGCTTAAGAGTCCTCCGGTAATGAGGCAACCATCCACAGGTGTGTGAGGAGGCCAACGAGAACCAGGCACCACCTGGTGGTGGAGGGAAAACAAACAAAAGCACAACCCACACAAACTGGATTCCTAACAGTTTTAGTTAAATAAACATTTTGAACTTTCCCACTGTCTGTCTTGCCTGGAATACTTGGTCCATCTGTTCCCGTTTTATGACATAACCACATAAGCTGAGAGTGACCACATACTAGCTGACCAGATCATTACACATTATTAGCTTTCCTTATAAAGAAGCCTACCATATGTTCAGAATCAAACATCTACAGTTATAGTTTTTTAAATTGGTAATATGAATATTAAAAATACTAATATAGCAACATAATTATACCATTTAGGTTTTTAGATGCTGCATTGTTTATCAGCTGAACACATTCCAATTGTTCTAAATCAATTTCAAAGTAAATTTGAGCCTTTTCAAATTTAGTTATTCAGTTATTTTGTTGTTTTTGAAAAATCTGCACAATGAAACTTTTACCAATAAATTGATGGATGGATCTTTTTATAAAAAAAATACTACACCTGTTTTTGTCCATTATTTGCATGATATTAAGGGCAGGATTGGCACTTTTTTTCAATATAAAGCAGGAGGGGAGCTCAGTCAGGAAGAAACAACCAATTGGTCTCCGCCAAGTGACGTCAATTGTTTACCTCGGGCGCGGTACACTACGCCTTTTCCACCTAAAATGGCGTCTTAGCAACAAATGTCACGTGACTGGCGGAGACCGAAAAAAAAAAAATCTCACCAATGTGAGGCTGTAAAACATATGTATTGTCCTCAGAAATGTTTTTTTTTCTTCTTTTTATTATAATCAGATATGCAAATCTCAAGGCAACTCACATGTAAAACATAATTAAACTCTTAAGTTGATCCAAACGTTTTGCTTCATACAGCAATTATTTAGCCGATTTGAGAAAAATAAATGTTACATCTTGTAAAAAGTTACCCTGCATACCCAAAAAATCTACTTTTTCATAATCCAAAATCCAGTTACTACAGTGATGTACAGTGATGTGCAGTACAAGCTACATAGAATTATAAATTTTCTATGTGTACTGCAACAATGCAAAAAAAAAAACATAATTGTTATTCAAATCAAAGAAGGAGCTGTTTTGATGGTACCCAAGCAATGCTAACATTACAACCATGTAGAAGTCTCAAATCTTCCTAAAGCAAACAGATAAAATTAAACTCCTCATAATCAGACTTGCTGAACCACAGATGGTCTCCATGTGTCTTCATGGCTCCACTCATGTCACAGTCCTCCTCTGGGGGGTTGTTAGACCAGCGTTTGAAATGTACAACATTATCATCAACCCAGAACCAAAGGTCCAAAGTACAAGCATAGTGAAGGCCGAGCCATACAAAGGGGCTGTTGGCCTTCTCAGCCTCCAGCTCAGCAAAGGCCTGCATCTGTCCATCCAGGATGGAGGCCAGACCACAGTGGAATTCCTTGCAGTGGCCCAGGGCTGCTTCCCAGGTCTTGTTTTCCTTAATTAGTTTAAAAGGTGATTCTATAAAAAAAGAAGATTTAATAAGTTTGGGGAACATAAACAGTTAATTTTGAAGATTTTACATTTGCGCGCATGCAATTTGACTTTTTCAAGTTAAAATGTGTTTGTGTGGGTTTTGGGCCTCAGTTAATTAATTTCAATTCAGTTTATTGACATAGCACCAATTTACAACACATGACATATAGGCACTTTCAAGGGCGTAGGTTTGATTTGAACTTTGGTAGGGACACTATTGGTCGGGTGTCATTGGGGCTATGCAATATGCATGCCCTTTTTTTAAGCTTGACGTGAGCATCGTACTGATGCTCAAGAATTCATTGTTTAAAGAGAAAAGCAGCATTTTGCTACATTAATAAAACATTTTATAAGCACTACACTCACCGGCTCTGATGAATGTGGAATTAGGACTGGTTTCCACTTTAAAAATGGTTTCATTTGAACGACTAAGACAGAATGTACATATACAGTATTTTCTTTTGAAGATATAGAATTGTGCAGAGGTAAACCTCTCATATGCTCATTACATTTCCATTAACAAGTATGACCAAGAGTCATTTAGTGGAACCCTGATGTCTATTCGCTGCTAGCTATTTCAAAGAGGGTAAAGAATCATTTGACTAAAGGTTATTGGTTCTTGATTAAGCAAATCATTTAATAAAACATTATTTGGCCAAATAATGTTTTATTCTCCTCATGGATTTGCATTGTGAAATGGTCAGAAAACATTCCAATTTCTCTAAATTAGTGAAAAGCTAACTTGATCATATCACAAATTCTTCCAGATAAACTTTGGTTTTCAAACACAAAATCCATCTTAAACTGTGATATGGATTTTAACCTTGTTTCCCTTTTGTTCATAGTAGTTTAGTTAAGTTTCACTAGTTTTAGTTAAGAGTGTTAAACTGAAATATGTTTTTACTTGGAGCTGAATGATTTTTGTTAATAAACTCTTATATTTTGAACAGAAATTGTGGTGAACTTATTTCATGTGTGTGCAGAATTAACTGTTTGACCGTGATTAGTGCTCAAATCACTCTTTCATTTATTGTTCTAACACACAGCTAGTAGAGTGTGTGTTCAAAAACATTATATAACAGCTGAAATAATATCTGATTAATTCCGTAAAAGTTCAAAAAAATCCACTGGACTTGGTTTCCAAGATTTGAAGATGTTTCGCCACCTCTCCAGGAAGCTTTCTCAATTCAAATGTCTGAATCAGCAGTGAGTTTGAGTCTTTATATAGACAAGGCCTTGTATTGCTTGGAAACATGCAAATGGAAACCGATGAGGGGGTCGTTTGGTTACATTTTTCGTCTGTAATATCTGAAAACCTGTCTATGAAAACCTGTCATAGACATGCATGTTTCCAAGCCATACAAGCAATACAAGGCCTATATAAAGGTCTATATAAAGGCTCAAACTCACTGCGGATCCAGACTTTTGAATTTAGAAAGCTTCCTGGAGAGGTGGCGAAACGTCTTCAAATCTTGGAAACCAAGTCCAGTGGATTTTTTTGAACTTTTACGGAATGACTATGACCTGGATGACTGAGAATCTTCATCAGCAATATCTGATTAAGTGAGATCTTCACCACCCCTACCGAGTAGGGTAATATACATCCTAAAGTATCAGAAATATAAATTCCTAGCTGGCTGGGAATTGAATAGAATATAAATGCACAACATTAATGTGGCATCCATCCTGTATGGGCATTGAACATAAAATCACAACAATGGTTTCTATTAATTGTCCATTTAGCATCCCGATACCCCAATCTGTAATAGTCATACAGCTGCCCACAATCAATTGTGTGACAGGACATATAGGCACAGCCTACCTCACAAAGTTTAACAAAAATATTTTTTTTCATGACATGTACATTGCACACATGCATCTTTATATTTTCTGGGTTTTATAACAGTGTTTAAGGCGTTTGCTACATTTGTGTAACTTTTCCTTTTTGTGGTTCTTTTTTGGGAGGTTGTAGCCCAAATTGACAAGCATCATCCATCTGTGGGTAAAGACAAACAGAGAAGTAAGGTAACTGGAAATAGAGTTTTTAAGGGAACATATATCACCAGATCTGACTGTTTTGAAAATGCTATTTTTGGTTTTGGTTCATTATGTGTCAAATATAGAATTACTGGAGCAATGGTAAAAAGAATGAATGTGTTGTGACAATCATAGACACAGTGGTTTTAAACTGGATCTATGTAAAGTTTTGAGCAAGGCCTCCAAGCATATCTAGCTCTGATATCACAAAATAGCAAACAAATCCAACCATATCTTGCTATTACTGCCTCTTTCTCCAGCTGTTGTTCGATCATCATCAACTATTCACGGATGCTCGTGATTCGGATACATTACCCCAGATCCCACTATGCGAGCTGGTGTTGTTGATAGCATGCAGGCAATACAATAGTGACAGGTGACTGGCGGTAACCTTGTTACCACTCAAAGCTGTGCATCCTGTGAAATAGGTTGAATCCTCCAGTAAAAATTGAATATATAAGACTCTTTTTGCAGAAGAATATACTAAAGAATAATGAAGTGTAGGGTGACCATATTTTCATTTGGGAAAACCACGGGGGGGGGGGGTGATATTGAAAGAACAAATGTCTCTCATCATCGGGATTTGCTCCGTGATCAGAGGAAATGTTACTTGCCGCAGAACAGTTGTGAAAATTTGAAGTTCAGTTTAATATAATAATACAACTCTGTGAATAGTTCCGTCTGAAATTAATGAAAATAGTTGTTTTAATGGTTTTAGAGTCATATATGTGGCGGTAATGTTTGGTTTATCTAAAGGTTTTAATCTGTTACTGTGTAAATGAGTTTGGCTGTAATTTAAGGACAGATTCTAATAGATCTGCAGGGTGGGGACTATAAATCTGATAGGAGTTTAATTTTTTTTATTGTTGTTTTGCACAATATGCTTAACTAAGTATTTTTTGTTGTTGAATATTAGAGATTTTGCAGATATATTTTGTAGATACATTGTTTAGATTTAATTATATATTTCTAACCCTTTTATAGAATAGAATAGAAAATCCCTTTATTGTCCCACAATGGGCAAATTCACAGCAGCAAAAAGATTATTGAAAATGGTCACACAAATGAGGACCTTAGAGAAATATAATAGGGAAACATAATAGGGAAGAGTTAAAATATAAAAAATAAAATTCTGTAAAGTGTTTTAACAATATAAAACTGGAGAATAAATAACCAATATGCAGCTATGGACATTTTTACAATAATGGATATTTGAAAAAGCAGCAGGTTATTTAACTGACTAAGGTTTCTATCATTACATTTGATTTTATTTGTTCCTGCTCCCGGTGGTTGGAACCTTTATTCCACTCTGGATTCTTGTGAGTCTTTGTTCACTTTAACTTTTAAAAAAATAAATAAATAAACAAACAGTTTTGAAAACCTCGGTATTCATTCTTTTCCTGCTTTATGTATCAACTTTCACGGTTGCTAAGCAACAGAGCATACGGCGGTAAAACCCGCCGAAGGGTGGACCTGTTCGAATTTACTGACAGAACTCTTCCGGCCTCCTTATTTTCAAGGACTTCGAAGGGTCCAGTCTAGGTAGACCGCGTCCTTGGAGGATGCAGCCCAGGTTTTCGAACAGAGCCTCTGATTAAGAGCAGGGCTGCCTGCACTGACGCGGCTCAGGGATTACGTCACACGGAGCGTCGTGCGCAGTGAAATCAGGACATTTCCTCACTTTCTAAAAAAAACCCGGGACGCCCGGGACAGGACGTGAAATACGGATATGTCCCGGGAAATACGGACGTTTGGTCACCCTAATGAAGTGTGTATGTATGGGGTACGGTGCGGGTCAGTTGTCAGTTGTGGTCAGTTGCCTTCGGGGGTGTTTGATAAGCATCTTCCTGAAATGAGTTCGATATCTGGGAGTAGTAGAGAGGCTTTGCTGAACCAGTAATGAACCAGTAATGATTAATGATCGGTGGACATGTGTTTTAATAGGTTAACTCAAAAACCGCCGATCTGGCTCCGCTATCTTTGTTAGTCTTTTGCCTAAGAAAGAGCCCCATCCCCCATCTCTGCAGCAGCCGCACATGGTGAACGCCATTATCTGAGAATGTGCTATACAGATGTATAATTTCTGCAATTTTTTTTGGTCTTTTTTTTCTTCTTTTGGTGCTAGTGTGTTTTATTTTAATCATTGGACAGAGGATGTGCTTTTAACAGAAAGTTATCTATTTAATACATTTTAGCCCATACCAAATATGGTTTTCTGTAGATATTTCTGTGATATTTTGTCTCACGAGGCTAGTGCTGAGTTGACTTGTTCAAGTTAGTAGCTCAATTATGTAGCGACCATCTTGGGGTTTTGGTTGTTTATTTATTACCGACTAAAATTATAGATTAAACTTTATCACGCCAAACAGCTTAAATATCTGTATTTACTAGTAAATTAAGTTTATATTTATAGATTGATTATTTAAATTAATAGTTATAATATTTTATGGCAGGCTGGTAGATGTTTATCAGAATCTAAAATATATATTTTTATACATAAATTTTGAGTCGAATTATAGAATATTTTACAACATCTTCATTATCAAATTTAACTAACTGTATTACAATAGTAAAATAAACATATCATCTGTAGCTAAGATTTGCCGTATCTAAATGTGTGCTCGACGAATTAAATTAGTACTTAACTTTACACCTGTGATGTTTTTGAGTCCCTCGTAATACAATACTTTCTAGCACATCAATTTATTCCTCCATTAGCTTTGACCTATTTCTTGTAAAACTGACAATAAAGAACTATTTGTTTATTTGTTTGCGATTTGTAGTAATTTAAACCTAAATCACTGAGGAACTAAAGGAGCAAAGAAATTAAAAACATCCTCCAATACTAATAGGCACTAATCCTTTAAGATGAATATATTTGTTGAATAAATGTTCATAGGACTTTCAGATACACACAGAATCTTATTTTTTCTGAAAAGAAAACCGGTCCGAATAAGAGACCCTAACATGGTCAATAGAGGTTTATATTTAAAGAGGTTTGAATATAAGCAGATCATACACCCCTGCTTTTTTATGTCATTGTCTTATGGGAACTTTAAATTGTGTCTAAGCTTTAAAGCTCAGGGTTAGGGGTCACATATGTGGGACCCCTGGGTACCCTCAAGGAGTATATGAGGTGCCCTAGAGCCCCTTCTAACAATAAAACATCTCACCACTGAGCTGCCTCTAAAATGTTATTTTATTCGCTTACTCCTCTTTTACTCGCACTTTATAAAAGAAACATTAAAAATATGTTTATTGTACATTAAGTTTTAGTGAACCCTGACTCTTCCAGGTCATAGTTAAATATTGGTAGCCCTTTATATGAGCTATCCCTAACAAAGATCTTGGTTCCAAAGGGGTGGCAATCCCTGATCTAGGGGGTTATCTGAGGAGGGGAAGTTGTTAGATTTCATCTCTCCATGGACTTAATGTGAAACACCCCAGCAACAAGGACTCTCAACATAACGTTACCACCATAATTTACTGTTTGGAAAGAGAACTGATTCAGTTATGTTGCCCAAAAGTTAATCTGTGTCTGGTCTGATTATACAAGCTTTCTCTGCGCCTGCTGGTTTGTCCATGAAGGTAGCTACAGATTCCAGTATCATGAAAGTGTTGTTTTGGAGCATGAACTTCTTCTTTTAGGTGGCATCCTCCAAGTCTACCCTGATGGTGAGATTACTTCACTGACGACAGATGCTGGTCCTCCTTTCTCCTTGAGTTTTTGCTGACTAGAATTCAATTCAATTTCAATTTCAAGAATTTATTGTCATTGTCAAAAAAAGGCAACGAAATTATGTTTGGGGTATAATACTTAGTAGCAGCAAGTTCCAAGTAAAGTGCACAAGAGGTAAAAGTGACACCAGTGCTTGACCCCCCCAGCCCCGCCCCCCCCATCCCACTTAAAGTGCAGCAAAGATTATTAAGTGCCATAATGCTTGCCCCCCCAACACACACGCACGCACACACACACACACACACACACACACACACAGAATAAATACACAGCTCCCAACCAGACTATAATAACGGGGCCCTAATGAATAAGGCAAATTATTCAGAATTCAGAATTTAGGTAGTCCGTTCCTCAAGTCCTGTGAATTCAAGAGTCTTATGGCCTGGTGGTATAGGCTGTTGGCCAGTCTTTTGGTCCGGCTCTGAAGGGACCTGTACCTTTTACCTGATGGTAGAAGTTGGAACAAGTGATGGGCAGGATGGTGGCTGTCACGCATGATGTTCTGCACTCTCCGTAGACAGCGTGTGGTGTAGATGGAACTAATCTCTGGGAGAGGCATTCCAGTGATTTTCCCTGCTGTTTTCACCACACGCTGGAGTGCCTGCTGGTCTGCTTTGGAGGAGCTAGAGAACCACACTAGGAGCCCATAAGTCAGAACACTGCTGATGGCACAGTTGTAAAAGTTCACCAGCAGTGGCCTGGGGATGTGGTAGCTCCTCAGCTTCCTCAGGTAGAAAAGGCGCTGCTGGGCCTTCCCAACAGTAGAGGCGATGTGAGTGCCCCAAGACAGGTCCTCCGCCAAGGTCACCCCTAGCAATTTAAAAGTACTGACTCTCTCCACCACCTCTGAACTGATGGAGAGGGGTTCGTGCTTTTTAGGCTGTTTTTTCCTAAAGTCCACAATCATTTCCTTGGTCTTTTTGGTGTTAAGAGCAAGGTTGTTGCTGTCACACCATGATGCCAGATGTTGCACCTCTGCCCTGTAGTCCCTCTCATCGTTGTTGGTGATGAGGCCCAGGACGGTGGTATCGTCAGCGAATTTGACGATCAGGTTGGAGGGAGAAGAGGCAGAGCAGTCATGTGTGAACAGGGTGTAGAGCAGAGGGCTTAAAACACACCCCTGGGGCGCGCCGGTGTTTATGGAAAGAGTGGAGGAGATGTTGTTGCCCACTCTGACCCTCTGTGTACGATTGGTGAGGAAGTCATTTAAAATGTTTTTAGAGCATAAACAGTAGTGTATAGGATTTCCTAAAAGCGCGCGCCTGCGAGTTCACGAGTCTACGGAAACCGCGGCAGACCAAACCAGATGAAAGTGCGCATTCAGCTCGGCAAAGAACTCATGCTCTTCCTCAACACTGAAGTCCTCAGACATTTTTCTTTCGTTGTTTCTTTCTTTGCACAGGTAAACAGCACATTTCTTCTTCTACGCTTGCATTATCGGCAGAGCAGACGCTTTCATCTGGTTTGGTCTGCCGCGGTTTCCGTAGGCTCGTGCACTCGCAGGCACGCGCTTTTAGGAAATCCTATACACTACTGTTTATGCTCTAAAAACATTCTAAATGACTTCGTTTCGAGTAAATTATGGACGCTACCAACTCAGGACACTTGGATTACATTGGACAAGCAGTATGGAGGAATATTGACACGTTTTTTGTGGACTTTTATGGACCTTTCTGTCTCGGGCACCATAGACCTCCATTATTTGAATGTCAGCAGACAGCAAGAAGCCTCCCAGATCTCCAGATGCATTTGAGATATCAAAAAAGTACTCCAGGGTTTTGTTCAGCATGGGGGTGAGTAGAAAATGAAGGCTAATCATGTTTTGGGTGTACTATTCCTTTAAATCCGGAATACAATTTCGAATCCTCCTTCTCACAGATAAAGCCTTAAATGCTGAATAAATTTTAAAATCTATACTGAATTTAACTTTTTTACATCATTTTACTCAAGGAGCAGTCAGATGCATCATTAAACGCTCCAAAGTAGCAAGACATCCTTGCCTATAATGTGGGTTATAAACATTGGACCTGCCACTGAGAGCATTATCCATAGAATTTTAAATGTTTAGACATAGTTAGTTGTATTATTGCAAAATATTTAACAAAATGTATCAGGATAAAGATTTGTAGACAGAAAAATGCATTATAGAAGAAAAAAAAAGATTAAGCTGAAAGAATAACCGTCATAAAAAGAAATAACAAAAATGTATACAATTGTAATAGATGTGTAATCTATTATAAAAATGTATTGATATATTTGACATAAATGTCAGATATTTAACTGCCTCAAGCTATTAATGGTTTTATGTTTCTTCCTTTATGGTTGAGAATTAAGTCAAACTTACCTATCTTTGTGCCCATGATCTTCACCTCACAAAGAACCAGATATGTATGATCTTGTCTGATCACAGTGACATATCGTCCCGACACTGATGAGGGAAATATGAAGTGATTTGTCTGGTCTGTTTGGAAGTCTGTGATGTTGTAAACCCTGAATAACAGAAAGAAACAAAACATACAGCTGAGCCTGAAAACTCCTGGACATTATTGAGACCAAAGATACAGCAGATGTGGCTGCTGTGAACAGTAGTTTTGCTTATGTCAGTGTGTCCCAGGCCAGCTATGGCTACAATATAGCTTGCCACCATCAATGTGCAATTGTCTGCTGGAATAGTTTGATTACTGACTATAGTGTGAAGTCCTCCCTTAAAGGCACTCTGCAAATTCAGTTAATTTACATTTACCACATTGGGAAGAAATTAAAGTAATCCATTCAGATGAAGTTATTTGTTATATTAAAATCTTTTGACTTTCTGATACTTTCAGAATGCTTAAAAGTTATGTTTTTAGCATTACAAATTTTCTTTAAACAGTAAGCAGACAATACTCTCACATCCATTTTAACTTCCAGTTTCTAAGGACAAAATAAAGTTTTAGTTTGAATTTTAGGTTTGAAAACTGCCTTTTAATGAAAAATGGCTTTTGGATTTCATTGGACTGGACTGCATTGGATTGAATATACTTTATTGATCTAAAGTTGGTAAATGACAGTGCATCAGTGAGGCAAGGAACACAAAAAAATATATTAAAAGCCGGAAAATATTCTTATTTACTAAAGTATTAAAAGTATTTGTGGTATAAAACACATCATTAAATAGGACCATCAATAAAGGATAGTACAAAAAGAAGAAGAGGACAAAGAAATTACAAAACCCAGAAATCACTGAATAAAATGTTGGTATACTATTTTCATTTTTAGGTCTGAATATATTAAATATGTCCAATGAAGATGGCATAATGTACTTACAGTCTGTTGTTGGTGCCATTGTTCTTTAGAGAGTTCCCAATGTAGATCTGAGCTCCTGTTAAATTAGCCACAGCCTCATTTTTAGTATAGATAGAGATGCAGGAAATGTTGTAAATCCCCTGCAGGTCAATTCTCCACCAGGGGTTAGTCTGATTCTGGGTGCGACAACATGTATTGATATCCTCATCAAAGGCTCTGGGAGGGATCAACGGAGTGTTTTCCCAATATAAGGTTGAGGACTGAGATGCTTTTTCTTTGAGCAGTTCTATCTTGTCTGTGTTGCAAAGATCTGAGGATAAGAGAAATGTTACCCTCGCTGTTTAGTTTTGATTCTAATTAATGCCAGAAGCAATCTGTTTGTTAGAGAATATTTGCTCCTACCTGTCGTCTGCACAGCTACATTTTGGGTTACTGTAAATTCAAGAAAATATAATGAAATAATCCTAATATATTAACATTACTGTATTCTAAAACCACAGATTTAACTATTTAGAAGTAGGTCAATTCATTGCCAATCTAAACTCTTGAGATAGACATTCAGAAAAATCAAAAAGGCCACTTACTAATAACCCAGATGAAAACCAAACTCCGCAGCATCTTGGAAGAACAAACATATTATTATACCTTTTGTTAAAATAGTTGTTGTAAACAACTTACTCAGATTAAAGACACTCTTTCAGTAATGAAGCTTGCCAAATAAAAAGTAAACTTTCAGTCAGTTGATGTATAACAGCCTCCCTCACCTCAGCAGTTGGTCCTCGCTCCACTCTGATGTTCATTTAACCTCCTGAGTGAAATCTGCTTCCTCTACTGCAGCTTTCACGGAAATCAACTACTTTAATGGCTTTATTCAAATATACAGCTGTTACATCAGAGGTTCATTCAAGGTCAGAACTTTGCATGTTTTTTATTTATACAAAAAAAAATTTACTGGGTGTCTCATAAGCAATCTGGATGTTACTATGGTATCAAATATGTCCTCAGACAATCTTAAGTTGTATATTAAAGATGAACTTTTATACACCCACATCCACATTATGTATTTATTTGCCATACTTTTTTTCTTTTTAGGATGTTGTTTATCTATTAAAAACCCTATACATTTATAATGCCTGGGTTTAGAAATGCTACAGAGTATGGGCTTTGACTGATACATCAAATACCATCAGATTTATAAAGATCTTTCTGCCCAGGCTAAAATTCTCACTTTCTGAGATAAACTTTATACAAGGAAGCACTGGAATCTGAACAATGTGCTGTGCTACAGAACATAATACGACTGTTTCTTAACATGAATTTCCTTCACAGCCAGGAATCAACCATACAACTTGATGCATACCTGGCATGTACAGCTAGAGGTTTGTCTATTTACCAAACTTTATCTAGCCTGTAACTCAGGTTAAAGACTGTCCTACCAGCCCCTGCTTTGTGTGAAAGGCTTTTTAGTCTAGCTTGATTTAACTTCTGTCCAAGAAGAAGAATTAAATAACATAACTTTAAAAAACAGCTTCAACTGAAGTTAAACAAGCACTTCTGTTTAAGTTTGAATAGTTTTCCAGGATGATGTATAAAGAAATAGACTAAATTCATCTTCTTAAAATTTAGCTGATATTTTTCCAAGTGAGAAAAACAATATTACAGTCCTTTACTTGGATTTATTATAATTTTAAAATCATATTGCTGATCAACAGTGGATGAAGCACTCAACAGGAGTACTTGAACGAAAGTATTGATACTCATAGTCAAATATTACTCAACTATGAGTAAGAGTTACTAAATCGTATATCTACTCAAGTTAAAGTGGTAGAGAAATCACTTTTGAAAATACTTAAGTATTCAAAAGTACATGCTTTTAAAAGAACTTAATTATTCGAAAATACAAATTAAATTTTCCAACATTATTACATTTCTGTGTAATTTTCAGAGTAATTTTAAAGAACTTTGTATCTTTCAGAAATCACCTCAGATAATGATGCGTAGAACCAACTGTTACAAATTCTGCATCACTGATATATAACTTCAGCATAAAAATGCCACATAAAAAAGGACAGCTATTGTGGTCATTATTTCCTTCTCAAAACAAACCAAGAAGAAAACAGGAGAGTCTTGATTAATGTCACTCTTTCACTATGGAATAGAGGTTTAAGGTTGAATCTATTACCACAAACAAAATCTATTATCACAACTCTGATTGGAGAATTCATCCTACTGAACAATTTGGCTACAAGGCAACAACTCATAGCTTCATAAGATTTTTAAACTACAAATAATATCTGCACTGAGTTTCTCACATTTGTGGAATGTCATGGAAATCCCTTAAACAGTGGTTTCAAAATTCAGTCCTAAGGGCTGCTATCTTTCATGTTAAAATTGCATTTGACAGAATAAAAATAACAACAGATTACAAAGCTAAGCTGAAGCAGAAGTAAAAAGTAACCAGCAGCTTCCTATAAATTTAGTGGAGTGAAAGTTATAAGTACTCCCCTGAAGATTACCGTACTCAAGTAAATATATTTAACAAGTATTTAAGTGCAGTAATCGAGTAAATTTACTTTGTAACATTTAACCACTGCTGATAAATAGGTTCTGTTGATGCAAGCACTAAGCCAGTGTTGGATCTGACTTAGGCCTGTGCTCCCATCCAAACCTAAAGCTTAGAGTATAAACAGATAAAACACAGCTCTTTAGTTCCATACGTTTTTACAAGTATAGGCTTTTTGTTATTTAATGCCACTGCATCATTAGGTAGTTTTAGAAAGTAAAAACTCTATAAAGACACTCAAAACACATCAATGTACTGTCACCCATATGTCTGGAGGAGAAACAGGATGAGGAACTGAAAAACAGGCCCAACTATATGATTTATAATTAAAGTTGTAGATGACAGCAGCCCAGCTGATGCCTTCCTCCGAATGGCGTAACAACCAAACAGGACCAAGGCAGATGAAATTACATTACGGGAAAATCAGAGACAACAGAGTTAGACGTTTTGCTAGAAAATATGCAGAACTGGAGAATAGAGCTGAACCAGAATAATGAAGTGTGGTCCATATGTCTTTTAGCTGCAAACCTATAGCAGTATAACTATTGAGATAACAGGAGAGGAGCCTGATAACTAAAAGATCTGACTCCTATTCTACTTTTAGAAATTCTAGTTCTAGTACTCTAGTAAACCTACAGATTGGGAGTGAAGTTCTTTGTAAAGGTACAATCAGATCTTTGATATCTGATGGAGCTTGGTTATTTATTGATTTATATGTTAGAAAGAGGATTTAAATATTTATTCTGGAACAGGAAGTCAATGAAGAGAATCTAGGATATGAGAGACATGATCTCTTTTTTAAACAACACAGAGTCCAACACAATTTTGCATCCTATTTCCATTAGCCCCCCAAAAAAGAAAAGTAAAAGTAAGAAATGCCTACAATGGCGTTTTTTATGTTTGATGTTCCTGATTCTGTGTCTCAAATTTACATAGATGGAGTTTATTTAAATACACATTAGCTTTACCAATGTTGGGATCAAATGTCGATGATGTAACCAGAACTACTCCCCTCTGAAGGCACTACCTTCCGATCGAGTTTAGAAAAGCAACTTTACCATTCAACTTCCTGTTGCCAGTGGCTGTTACCATAGACATTATGTACGTAGATGCCTCTAGAGGGCTACCAGCTTGGATCAGAACATCAGTTCAGTTCAACAGCTGTCAGAATCAATAGGAGGCCCCTTAGATCTCATTTTAATCACACGAAAGACAAGTCAAAGATAATATTACAATAATCACAGCCCCTTAGAAGACCAAAAAAAATTCTAAAATTAGATTACATTTTTATTCAGTTTAAAAACTATTTAAACTGAACTCAAACTGTATGAGATATATGCAAAGTTATATATATTTTTCAATTAAATATTAATATGATAAACGCAAAGTTTTATATCAATATATTGTGAGCTTATGTTATAAAAATATGATATATTTATATAATATATTATTATTATTTGGTATTTTTAAGGATTGCTCTTTGATAATGAGTATTATGATCTATAGAGGTAATTTTTTGCGTTGCGGTTCACATTTCCAAATATATGTGACTTGTATGTGATCTCCTGTGTGAACTGCAGTCATACAACCTTAGTGTCCTGCATGCTCAGTAGAGGATGCAATGACATCACAGGCCAGGGTGCTCTGTGTTTACGGAAGTAAACATGGGTGACAGCACCAGAGCGCATCCAGCTGTCTTTCCCAACCTTAAAAACACAATCTTTCCAAGATGGCTAAACATAAATACTATTCTCCACATTATCGTCCACCATCTCTGTTGTTTTTCTTGCCACTTCTGCATAGCAAGAAGCAGATGAGTGACCACTGCGGGTATTAATCGGATGAATGCGACCTGGCCGTACAGACACAGGTCGCATTTGAAAAGATCAGATTCGTATCTGATTCACGACCACATAGCCAAGTGGTCTGGGTCACATTGGAATAAATCGGATCTGTGTTGTTCAGACTGCCATGAAAAGGTCAGATCCAGGTTGTATATGTGCAAAGAAATTGGATTTTGGTCACTTCAGGCTGCAGAGTAAACATAGCCTAAGGGCCCTGTCACAGCTTGCCGATTTAGCCAGCGTATGCCCAACGTCCCACAATATCCTAAAACGCTGGCATATGCTGAACTTTCTATGTATTTTTTCAATTATGGGCATATCCATAGAGTATTCATAACGAGTCCAGAACTTATGTCCAATTGTTATGGTCTTGGTTCTCTTAAGTTTTCTTTGAGTTTTCAGTTTCATGTTTATTCATGTTTTTATTTGTTTTCTAGTTTTATTGGTTTAATTCCTATTTTGTTGTGTTTTTGGATGTATGTGACTTCTTAGGCTTTTCTTTTTTGCCCTCTGTTGCCCTCTTGTGTTGGTTTCCTTTTCCTTGGCTCCCTTCCTAGAAGCCTCTGTTCATACCTGCTTCCAATCAGCTCGTTAGTCCTCCCTTTGTTCAGTCAGCCATAAATACTCTCCCTGTTCAGTTCCTTAGTGTTGGTTCCTCGTCTCTGCTCATTGTTCCCTGGCTGCTCGGGCTTGTTTTCCCCTGATGTCTCCATGGTTTTTGCTAAGTTTTACATTATAAGTTGGATTTTGGATTCCTGCCTTTGTTAACTGAAATCATTAGTTAAAACTGCAAGAACTCACCTCTGCATTTGGGTGCTCAGACCTCAACTCTAGCTGACACTTATGCATAACACATGGCAGCTTAATGTCTATGAAATGTCACAAGCCAGTGTCCTGAGGGCGGCAATTATGCGACCAGAGGTGCCCGGTCAGTATAAAAAGATGTCTTTGATCGCGGTATTAACCTAGCTATTGTTTACCACTCAAAAAAAAAGAAGAAATACAAAGAAAACGAAAGAAGGTGGAGGAGAACTGGCAGCTTCCTTCTGCAAGTTCCTTTCTATACCAAAACACTGCCATTATACAGTATAACGTGGAATATGTCAAATATGTTGATATGCATTGGAGATAAGCTCCTGATAAGTTACACACAAGTTATACACAAGTTATGCACAAGTCCCTTATAAGCTTTGGATAGACGCTACGACGTATGACGACTTACTTACACTTAACAACGATCAGATAACTTAACTGTAATTTATACCTCATGTATGGCATATGCTTGCATATGTTGTCAAAAACTGGAAATTTTGAGCATGCTCAAAATACCGCATGTCGACATGTGCCAGCATGCCAGCAAAGGGGAACAATGTTTTTTTTTTTACATTGGGTCCTTGATTTTACGTTTTTACA